TCCCCTTTATGTTCCCTACTAGGGCTGAATAAACAACCACAAAAAGCCAAGGGACATTTGAGTTGTTGTTGATACACCACCTACTAAATCAGTCACCTCATATGACCAAGAATATAAGGCCAATACACCATCCATCACCCATCTTTGTTTGTCCCCTCTTTTTAGCCAGAATATCCACCACAATCATCAAAGGATTTCATTCATTCTTTGTGATTTTTGCCTCCACAACAGGACAGACAAAGCCAGCTCCAAAGCCAAGACAAAGTCAAACAAAATCAGCCCTTATCAACTCAAGATTGGAAGCTAGTGAATGATAAAGGGACGTAGGAAGGTTCCTTGTATTTGCATTCATTATATTGTGTGTTTTCCCTCCTCTCCCCTCCTTATATATTTCGGCCATTTGGCCCTTGTAATCATCATCTCTGAATTATTAAAACTCCTTTTACTCTATTTATAAAATAGTGTGATGCTATTTTAGCCAAATTCCTAATTCTATATCTTAAGAGTGGTTATCTTAAGTGTGAGTTTTAGGTTCTAGATATTTAATTAAGTGTGTCATATCTTGATTGAATTCTAGATTCAAACCCCAAGTGAGGATAAGAGTGTGTTATATCTCTTAACACCAACTTGGTTATCCCTTCACTTTATCTCTGCCAATTTCATTTCTCACCATTTCTTCTTCTTGAACTTATTCTTTTCTTTCATCAAAAACCCAAAAAAACAACTCTTTGTTCCACCCCCCATCCCCTCATTTCCTATTCACCATCCCATAATTCCATCTTCAAATAGCAACTTGATTATACCCCGGGTCTCGGGCCTAACATTATCCTTTAGTATTAATTTGGCTCCAAATTAAGATAAGAGTGTGTTTATCTCTTATTCCTTATTTGGAATTTATCCCATCCTTTCTAAACCCATCCTTCATCCCTGATTTTCCACTCTTCTTCATAATATCAAAACCCAAAAAGAACTCCTTCACATTCCCATATTTTCATCCAGCCCATTTCCCCTTCATTATTCCACAGTTCCATCTCTAAAAATAACAACTTGATAAGACCCCCGGTTCACCCCTAACACTTAGGGTTCATCATATATTATTCAAGGATCTTGAATAGGCTAGAGAA